AAGTTGCCTTTTGTTTTGTTTTTACCACTAAATACAGTGTGATTGTCACCCTTAGTTTTGTGTCTTCTGACACACACAGCTAGGATTTAAATTGCCTGGTCAAAGGGTATGTGTATTTTCAGCATTAATGAAATACTTCAGTGTTTTCTGAAATGGTTGGAGCACTTAACTCCTATCTGCAATGTCTGTGTCCCAGATGATATATATCCCCACTAGTTTGATTTTGTCAGATTATCTGTTGGGAGTGGGTCAAGTTTTGTGAGCCTGACTTTTCATATGTGTGTAGATTTACAGGTTCAGCTCTGTGGCACAGCTTACTCCCTATTTCCAGTAATGCCCTGGCCTCTGGGGTCATGAAGGAAGTGTGCCCAGGTGTACTACTCTTTATCTCCCCTCTTGCTAATTTATAAAGCCTTCACTTCCATAAGTACTTTCTGAATTAATACCACTTGCATTAAAATCCTTCTGTCTCTTCCCTTAGCTTTCCCAGCACAACCTGCTTGTACCTCATTCATGTACACCATTATTAATTTGCACTTGTGTTGATCTGTCAGAGTTGATAAGGCACTACCCTCCGATCTCTCTACTGTTGTCATAGTTTTCTTTCTTTGAAAAAAAGTTTCTGGCTCAGGTTCTCATTAGCCCCTCTCGTTTATGGGATAAAATCTAAACCCTTAAGCATTACATAGAACCCTTCATTAAATCAATCTGCTGGCACTTAGGAGACAGTAAGTGTTGGTTGTTATCCTAATTTTGCATTCTGTATTACCCTGCAGATCATCTGGATGAATTTGACTAAATCTGCTTCCCTAACTGACTTTACATTTTGGGAAAGTTCATGTCTAGAGAAGTTGAAGGAATAGTATGAGCATCTGGGCACTTACCCCCTGAACTGAAAGAGTTAACACCTGGTCATTTGTATGTATATTACCCATTGTCTACTTTCTTCTGTCACATTTGTGACTCTGGAAATTTTGAAATAGTGCTCTTGGTTATCCATTAAAAAGGGATAAAATAAACATGCTGCTGCTCCTGCTGCAGCACTTCAGTAGTAATAAAAAAATAACTTCAGTGACTTGGTTTTTTTTCTGCCAAAGTAAATGTTGGCTCTCTTTCAGATGTAGTAATGTTGCTTCTCTAAATTTGTTCGAGTTAAACTAAAGCAGGGCCAAGTTGAGAAATTAGTTTCTCGGTTTTTTCCCTTCCAATTTAGAAAAAAAATAAGTTTTGGATACTCTTGTTCCTATAATTTTCTTCCTTGTTCCTTACTCTTCCTGCATTAAAAAAGATCATAAAGAATAAGCTAAGAACGTTAGTGGAAGGAGCAAAGATCCAGCCTTTTTACATTCTTTTTGTGGAGTTATTGTTGGTAGTAATCTTAAAATAGGGTGTCTGAATCCACGTTGAGGCAGTTAATTCAGTAGCACAGTTTCTTGTGAACCACAAAATGCTAAGTAAAGGTAGAGTCTTAACCCCCTACTCCTGCTTTTTTTTCCCCTTGGGCAATGCCCCCTGTTTCCCAGGCTGGAGTGTAGTGAATGGTGTGATCTTGGCTCACTGCAACCTCTGCCTCCCAGGTTCAAGCAATACTTCTGCCTCAGTTCCCGAGTAGCTGGGATTACAAAAATGTGCCACCACACCTGGATAATTTTTGTATTTTCAGTAGTGATGGCCTTTCACCATGTTGGCCAGGCTGGTTTTGAGTTCCTGACCTCAGGTTATCCCCCTGCCCTGACCTCCCAAAATGCTGGCAGTATAGGCATGACCCACCGCACCCCGCCAACCGTGACTGTTAACGTGATTTTTGCCTTTTTGTGATTTTTAGCTTATGCTTGCGAAATACACACTAGCTAGGAAATCCAAGCAGGTATCACATCATGCTGCCATATGAGTGATAACTGAGAGTTATCGTGCATTAGCTGGTATTTGACAGATTTCCAGGTATGTTAGAAAGTTTCAGTGAGTCAGTGTTTGTTGTGTATAAACATTCGAGATTGCGATATGCCTGTGAGTTGCAGCTTCCAGTCTGTGGGCACATACTGCTTGGAGGGCGAGCTGGTTGCAACCCTCTTTCTGTAATAAGGAACTGGCTTGGCTAGGCGACCTACAAAGTCATTTTGGATTTGACCCAGACTGGCTGTGCCTCACTCTTTACTGCAGTTTAAATCATGTGATGCTATTAAGATAATAACTTTGTCCAAGAGCAAAAGAATGTGAATACATTGTGGTATGTGTGAATTCAGAAACAGCATTCAAGATCAGATTCAGAAAGGTTAAGAGCAAAATCTGAAGTTCCTATGTCTCCCATTGTACTGTCTCTTCCTCAAAAGTGTGTTAAGAAGAAATAACTTGAGTAAGCTGTCCGAGTGGTTTGCATGTCCTTCTAGTCTTTCTGTGTATTTACCTGTGTACTTGCATGTTTATGTAAACATACAGATGGGTTCCCCGCGGGGGTTCCTACACTTCACTTTGGGCCTATTTTTTTTTTTTTTTTTTT